GGTTGAGGCACTTGAATTGGTTGGCCTTTTTACCTGAGGAGAACACTTTCCAATAGAATTACAAGTCTGTCAATTTCTCTCATTTCTTTGAGAGGTAAGACTGCAAATCACAGTACATAATTCAAGCGTCAAAATCTTGCTTTAACGCATAGCACCCATTGGGATGAAGTCACCATCTGCAATGTGTTTTCTACTTTTTCTTTCCTTGGAAACACATTTCTATAATGAGTCATAGTGACCCAATGGTAATGACTTCTTTCAGATTTGTGAAACGAGGACCAGGGTGGGACGTCTCTTTAACATAGCCTTCTTCATACATGAGGATAATAATTGTCCAAAGGAATTACAAGTGTGTACATTTCAAGCTTGTTAATGCGCAGTGCAAGAATAAAACTATCAATATTGAATTCAAATGGGAAAAATGATGGTACCAGATAATTCTAGTCTGCTCAAACGTACATACCAACCACTAAGCAAATACCTTTCTTTAATCAGTAGAAAATATTCATCTTCTAGGAATTGAGAGCCATGAAAATGTTGAAGAAAATAGTAGAAAATGCAGTCTTGGTATGTGCAGTTCCTGCAATATCAAGCTATGGTGCACCCTGGGGGGTTGTATAAAAATGGTAACTGGTACTATGGAGTGCAGTGAGGAACAGTTTCCTAAAAAACCATGAGATTCTTGTATTGAAGTACTGGTCAGTGTACTAATCTCTTGATATCACAATGAAGATCCTGACTTTGATGTAGTGTAATTTGTCTTTAGGGATGGCCAATTTTCTTTTCCTTCTGAAAATCTGGGTCGCTGTCCAGCAAAGATTAACACAGACACTTTCCACGAACCATGTGATTGGTCTTTTTGAAATCGAAGGAAATATTGACATTTTAAATTGAAAAACTGTGTAAGTCTTAGCAGGAAAAGGCTATTTGCTACACGGATAATGCAAGGAAGAACTCCACCTCTGTGCAGACGGCCTGAATAATGTTTTGAACCACTTTAAGGGCTTTATTCTCCTATCACTCCATGCCTTCGAAAGTTGCAACTTAGAAGTTCCTGGTGCTGCCGGCTATACAGGGAGGAATTTCCTCCAGCACGATTTTTAAACAAGGAGGGAGGAACAAGGACAACCAGAAGATTAATATTATAATGGAGCATAGTTTTTAATGAGAATGAAATTTGCAATTCACAGTTACAGAAAGAAATAATACAGAGCAGAAAGAATTTATTTCAAGTATTTCCAAAAGGTCTGGGACCGATCACTCGCTTCCATGGGATGCATTTGAGGCAAGATGTTCTTTTTCCTTTGCTGCAGGTACAGAGTTGGACAAACAAATTAAAGTGATAATAAATACAACTGATGCCTGTCTTAAGGCCCCTGTTTCCTTCACACTGCGGGGTTAGTGCAAACAGCTTGAGTGCAATTCAGAATGAGTCCACATGTGACTAGGAGAATAAGCACGTGGTTGGGAAAGCATTGGCAGAAAGTTTATAAGCATAATATTAGCAATCGGTCTATGATCGAAAGGGGCTGAGCAGACACAGTTTGCATTGAATTCAAGTGGAGCCATGCCTGCCCAGCACTTCTGAAATCTCTGTCTGAATCTCTAGCTTGTTGTTCATTTCCTGGTCTTTTCTTTTACCATTGATATACCTGCAGGGTTTAACATGGTGTACAGCTTTCACTCAGGTGCCTATGGCAATATACCCCGGAACCGCATGCTCCCCCGTAACCATAACGTTCCCCTTGATCACACAGTCCACCATAATGGCCCCCGTAACCACTCAATCCCCCGTAACCATAACGGCCCCCATAACCACACAATCCCCAGTAACCATAATGGCCCCCGTAACAACCTAATCCCCCATAAACATACAATCTTCCGTAATGGCCTCCATAGGGGAAATTGCTAAGAATTGGTCCTGGGATGGTTACGACAACCGGTGATGGTCAGAGTCAGGACACTGCCTAATGCTCAGTTTGTTGCAGCTGCCAGAAACTGGACTGCAAGAAACCGCGTAGAACACAGGTATGGGTCTCTCATGTCATTCCTTTAATCAGGTCACGATTCAAAGCCAAAGAATTTGGGGATATTTCATTTTCATTCCAATGTAATTTTACATTTGGTGTATTTATAGGAAAATGAAGGTGCTCTCTTGGTGTTAATCAGCACAGTTGCTTCAAATTGAAAGAAGTTCAGGGTCTTAAAGTCAAAGGAAGACATTTCTGCCTTCTTCCCTGGATACAGAATGTACTGCTAGAGATATATTTTACATTTAAAACAACATTGTGGTTCTTGCAGGAATGGTTTATGCAACATAACCTATGGCTGGTCGGACTCTATATCATAATCACAGCCAACAGCCCTTTCTTCCTTCTCCCATAATCCATGATTTCCATCTCTCCTGGGCTTCTTCCAGGCCTTAGTCAGCTGCATTATCTTGCAAGACCTCAGTTTCTTGTCACCTCAGTCATAGAGAGATGGTTTCTAACAGAGTACAAATTCAACCATTTAACTCAAAAGCTTTCTAGAAAAGAGCAGAGCTTCCTTTAACTCCCCACTATCCCTTCCATTGACCCATGAGCAAATCTGGTCTAGGCAACCCTTTGAGATAGCATCGGTGACACAAGTGGAGGTCCAATGTTAGATCAAGTTTTAATCACCCTAAGTTTAAATTCACCTCTGGGCAGAGGGCCATCACAAAGGCCCATGCTCCACTGAAGTCCCTGCTAAGACATAGTTTGAAAGTTTAAAGTGGGGCTGAAGTTGTCCATAGGCATCGTACTATCCCTCTGCCAAAAGGTGAATGTGAGACTTAAGGTCACGACAGGAAAGACACTGAAGGCAATGGAATGATACTGATTGTTTTCCGAGGGAATCGGATCTCACCCGTTGGGGATGGAGCTTTTGAGAAGGCAGAAAAATGGCTCTTTGCTTCCTAGCAAGTTTATAATGAACTGTCCAATCCCCCTAACTATGACCCGCATGAACTGAAAGGACCAAAGTGGATTTCTGCTCATGACAGCCAATTGTGCTGCTGATGCAATTCTAAATCACCTTGACATGCATTCTCATTGCACCACCAAGAAAGTCATTGGAATGATACTAAGAACGCAGATTACAACGTGCATGTCACTCCCTTTGAGGCTGAGATTAGCCCAATACTCCCAAACCCTGAGAAAACAGCTCCATCAAAAGGAGGATTTAACAAGGCCATTAAGATTGTTTGGTAACTAATTGGGACTTCCTGTACAAAACACAACGCAGATCCTCCAGGCAGTCCTAGAAACTGTATAAAAGCACTCACGACTCAGGGTTCTTCTAAACACTTCTCCGGACTTCAGCTCCTCGGTCTTCTGGGTAAGTCCAATTCGACTCAATGTCTTTCTAACCCAAGAGATGTCACAGTAGGATCCATTTCCATTTAAGACTGAATCTTGCACGTATTCGCTGTGATTTTTATCAGGAATGACAGTGTTGTTCCATAATTCTCTTGTGTAACTATTCAGTAGCAAGTTGTGGTGGATCCATGATTTGAAGCCAACGGTGGGGAGTTTAGGAGCACCAGATGCAATTGAGAAACATATTTCCTATTAACTGGAAAATTAAATAGGGAATTTAAATCTTTAAATTAACTTTAGAAACTTTCTTAGCCATTTTTCTCTTGGCTTGATTAGGAAGAAACTTTCCCAGGTTAGTTCCTACACAGCCAACTTAGGGGTCTTATACTTTATTCTGAAGTAGCTCTTATTCCTTGGTATAGGAGGCAGGAGAATGATTAAACTGACAAATGGTGTGATCAGGTATAGGAATTCCAACGTTCTTATGAGCAGAAATACCCACTGAAGATTCTTCTCCTCAGATGGTGTAATTTAGGGTCGCTCAACGGAAGTCAGTGGATCTGAACCCAGTTTAGCAGAGCTGAGGATCTTGTCTTAATGATTTATTTGGAGAAAAGAAAAGTTTCTGTTTATTCATCAGCAAGTATTGCGGACTCCCAAGGTTTAGAAAACCAATAAGCCACACTCTGAGCCTGGCCTCAACTAGTTTCTACGCAGAGATTGAATCGTCAAAGGAAAAGAAATGATAGCAGTATCCCAGTCATGTTCTCTTTCAGAAATGTCTATAATGGACGGCGAATCCCAGGGGTCCATCAATGAAATAATTACACTTATTCCAGGCGGTGTTTTTCAGACAAAATTATTGAGAAGGGATCAAAGGGACCCATTGGGAGGGAAGTGTAGCGTGAGTGGATAAGAGGTATAGGAAGAGGAAATAGGAACAAATACATAGCCACGAACCTGGCTCTCTCTCGGGCCCCACGGTGACCTCACTGTAATCGTAACCGAATTTTGAATCCTTTCTTTCCCTGTCATTGGTACCTTTTCTTTACTGTATTCCCTGTTGTGTGTTTCAGGTTTATCTCCATCACAGAAAGATGTCTTGCTCCAGCCTGTGCTATCCAGAATGTGGGGTGGCCCGACCCAGTCCAGTTTCTGGCAGCTGCAACGAGCCGTGCGTTAGGCAGTGTCCTGACTCTGAAGTCATCATCAGACCATCACCAGTTGTTGTAACCATCCCAGGACCAATTCTCAGCAATTTCCCTCAGCAGAGTGAAGTGGGAGCCGTTGGAGCACCTGTGGTCGGAGCCGGCTACGGGGGCTCATTCGGTTTGGGCGGATTGTACGGCTATGGAGGCCATTACGGAGGATTGTATGGTTATGGGGGATTAGGTGGTTACGGGGGCCGTTATGGTTACGGGGGAGGTTATGGGGGTGGTTACGGGGGATTGTGTGGTTACGGGGGCCGTTATGGTTATGGGGGGTTGAGTGGTTACGGCGGCCGTTATGGTGGACTGTGTGGTTATGGAGGAGGTTACGGGGGAGGTTACGGTTATGGGGGAGCATGCGGTTCCGGGGTATCTTGCCATAGGTACCTGAGTGGAAGCTGTACACCATGTTAAACCCTGCAGGAATATCAATGGTAAAAGAAAAGACCAGGAAATGAACAACAAGCTAGAGATTCAGAGATTTCAGAAGTGCTGGGCAGGCATGGCTCCACTTGAATTCAATGCGAACTGTGTCTGCTCAGCCCCTTTATCTCATAGAGCGATTGCTAATATTATGCTTATAAACTCTTTCTGCCAATACTTTCCCAACCACGTGCTTATTCTCCTAGTCACACGTGGACTCGTTCTGAATTGCACTCGGGCTGTTTTCACTAGCCCTGCAGTGTGAAGGAAACAGGGGCCTTAAGACAGGCATCAGTTGTATTTATTATCACTTTAATTTGTTTGTACAACTCTGCACCTGCATAAAGGAAAAAGAACATCTTGCCTCAAATGCATCTCAAGGAAGCGGGTGATCGGTCCCAGCCCTTTTGGAAATACTTGAAATGCATCCTTTCTGCTCTGTATTATTTCTTTCTGTAACTGCATTGCAAATTCATTCTCATTAAAAACCATGCTGCATCATAATATCGATCTTCTGGTTTTCCTTGTTCCTCCCTCCTTGTTTAAAAATCGTGCTGGAGAAAATTCATCCCTGTAGAGCAGGCAGCACCAGACACTTCTCAAGTTGCAACTTTCGAAGGCGTGGAGTGAGAGGAGAATAAAGCACTTTAACGTAAATATTTCCTTTGATTCCAAAAAACCAATCTCATGGTTCGTGGACAGTGTCTGTGTGAGTCTTTGCTGGTTAGCGACCCAGATTTTCAGAAGGAAAAGAAAATTGGCCATCCCTAAAGACAAATTACACTACACTAAAGTCATCTACAGCAGTCAGGAATCTCCTTTGTGATATGAAGAGATTAGTACACTGACCAGTACTTCAGTATAAGAATCGAATGGTTTTTTAGGAAGCTGTTCTTCACTGCACTCCATAGTACCATTTTTATACAAACCCAGGGGCTGCACCATAGCTTGATATTGCAGGAACTGCACATACCAAGATTGCATTTTCTACCATGTTTTTCTTCAACATGTTCATGGCTCACAGTGCCCAGAAGATGAATATTTTCCACTGATCACATTTTTGAATTGACAACACAAAATAAAAAATGTATCCAGACCTTCCTGGCTCTTCACTGACATGATGTAATACTCACATAATGAGGGGAGATTTAGCCATCTGCCACCGGGTTTTATTTAAGGGCAATACAGCTCTATTCCTCAATGTCAGAATACACCTGATGACCCCTCCTTGGAATGGAAGAACACAGGCATTGCTGCAGCAAATCAGGCCTCTCTCCCACAGTGGTGAATGCCAGAGGCTTCACAGGGAGCTGCAAGAAACCCCGTAGAACACAGGTATGGGATCACCTGCCCATAGAGGAACTTTTTCATTATCCCCCGTCAATCCGATCTACCTCCATTATTGGATGATACCCTGAAGCACAAGAGTTTATAGCCTTGCCAAGCTTGTAGAAATGCAGTAAATCCATCTCAGTCGGAATTTGCTCCAGAGTATTGCAAGCACCATTCTCTCTGCATCACCGAGGCCCACTATGTTGATAATAGAGGAAGCAAATAGCCAGGCAGGCATTAGAAGAAAGTCCCATCATGTGAAATATGAGAAACATTAGTCATCTTTCCAGAGGTGTTGGTTAAATGCAGCTCTTTTATTATTTCACAAAGAGTTCGATGTACTCAGCAGTTCTCAAAACTAGGGCTATGCGCTAAAACCTCAATCTGCATCTTGCTGTTCATTTCCTGGTTCTTCCTTTTTCTTTGGATATGCCTGCTGGGTTTACCTATGGCCCCATCACCACCCCCACAACCCTATATTCCTCCCACAACCATATGGTACCTTGTAACCATAGAATCTCTCCTAACCATATGGACCCCGATAACCATGTCATGTCCCATAACCACAGGGACCCCCGCAACCATATAAGCCTCCATAACGTTATAAGGCTCTATCACCACATACCCCACATCACCATCTCCAATGTCAGCTGCTGCTGAAGATCCCACTATGCTTTCCTGAGGGAAAGAACTGAGAATTGGTCCTCAGAAGGTCATGACAGCGAAGGGTGGTTGGACCAGCACTGTGGGCTCAGGGCACGACCTTATGTAAGGCCTGTTGAAGCTGTCCACACGTGCTTTGTGGAGTGTCACTCCACGCATTTGTGAAACAAGACATCTTTCTGCAGTGGCGATAAATCGGAGACACATAGCAGGGAAGAAATAAAATTTATTTTATTTATTTATTTTAATTTTTATTTATTTATTTAAAAAATTAATTTAAGACAGTAGTTTTATGTGTGTGGACAAGTGGAATAAAAAGAAAGAACTAACCAGCTGTTTTGAATCCTTGTTACTTTCTTTGTCCGAAATAACCCTGTCTCTAAGCAGTATTTAATTTCTATCACTAATGCTTGGGATTTTCAGTCCATTAAAATTATAACACAGAACTTGGCTGGGATAGCATTAATAATGCCATTTTCCTTGTTAGGATGTAACCTCTAACTAGAAATGAGTTCAGGACAGCATGAAAATGTGTAGGTTTGATGTATTAACCTCAGTGTGTCACCAACACTTGCTGATCAAGGAAGGGAAGTGTTTGGCTTTTTAAAAAATCAAAACCAAACACTAAACACCACTTCCTCAGTTGGTATAAATCTTAGTGATCCATTCACTGGAGCTACACTAAGTGAGACCAGATGAGGACCTGCCCCTATAATCCCTTGTTCATATGAGAAGGTAGCAATTGCCATGCAGGAAGGGACTAGTGGCCCATCCAATACAGTATCATGTCTCAGTGAATGTCGCTTACCAGCTTCTTCAGAAGACAGCAGAAGAAGAACGAATTAAGCCTCTATGGAGGAAATTTAGGGAGTTTCTTCCAAAACCCTACATGAAAAATTGGGGGTGCGAATTTTCAGAGCTACCAAAGGGATTTGAATGCCCAAGTTCCAACTGAAATCAATAGGAACTACTTTCCCAAATGCATCCCTTGCTCTTAAAATCCAACTCTTAACTTCTAAACCATGAAGAAAGCAATGCCTGCCGCTCAGTAATGGGAAAAATAGTGAGAAAAACAAATCTCTTCCCATTGTTAAGAATCACAAGTGTGTATGTCTAAGATTCAGTGCTAAATTAAAAGGATCACGAACGCATCATCTGAATGATTCCACAGATAGCGAGTCGAATACGACTTATTCATTTCACAGAGAAGAATAAGTTAGAGAAGTGGTTAGAAGACTTTGGAATCTTGAGTGTTTTTATCTAGTTTTGTAGACTGCCTGCGTGGACTTCAGAGGCGCTGTGCGCCTGAACACCTATTTAATTACAAAACAAACTTTGCGTAACTCCTTCAATTGATGTAGTTTTTTCCCCCTCTGCGGTTCTGATGATTAGTTTGTTCCTAACTGCACATGGTGTGACATGCACCTTACACCCTGAAACTGTCTTTCATCTTAAAATTTTATGGGCCAGCTACATTCCTGCTTTTATTCAACTGACTTCACTGATGCTGCAATAGGATATATGGAAGCTTAAAATGGTAACTGTCCAATGTAATAGAGAAGCCATGGTGAGTATGTGGCCTATTATCGGGATTTATTTCTGACTCTGCCACATGCTCCCGATATATTCTTCACCTCTATGTGCTTGTTGACCTCCACATAAATCTGATCTAATATTGACATTGTGCTCAATGATCATAGCTTCCTCAAATCAAAGGACTTCAAAGTATATCACACTCATTAAAGTTGCCTGTGTCCACTGTGTTGCATTATTTTAATGGGAGAATATTTTTCTTGGGAGTAGATGCCTCCAAGTTGTGGATTAGACTAATTTTGGAAGTGCATTTTTAGGTTTCTGATGTCATTCCAATAGAGAGTTCATGACTCCTAGCCTCTGAATTTGGGGCTCTTTGATTTTCATTCAAAAAAGCTTTTCATTTCCCTTTCTTTAAGAAACATTCCTTTGTAAAGCTCAAGGGGCAGATGCTGAGCCCGGGTACATTAGCACAATTCCACACACGTCAATTGAGGGAAGGCATTGACACAGCTGAGGTAAGAAGAAATGGCATTGGGGGGTATTTCGTACTTTACAAAACATTCTAATTACGGCGGAAAAGCTTTCTGCAGAATGCCCCAGGTTGGTCAAACTTGGATTTAATCCAATCTCCTCTCACAGAAAGTTGACCACAGAAGAAGTACTCCTCAACTCTGTCTGTTTTGTGCTTCTTCCTATGCTTTACAAGCTGAATTCTCTTACAGGACCCAATTCCCTTGGCTGCTCATGAATGGAGATGCAGTATCTGATGTTTCCCATTGACTTCACTGTACATTGGAAGTTGCGGTTGCGGTTGAAAGTGCCGAGTATGCTCAGACAGATGCACTCCACACAAGATTCTCTCTGAACTAACCTGGATAAAGTGCCTTTCTTCAGTTTGAAGCTGTGCTGGTACACACTGGCTCAACGGCCACCCTTCAACTGTAAAGTAGATGTAAAAGGGAAATGCAAAGGTACCTTGAAGG